GTGGTTATGGCAGCTTCAGCCTAGTCTCACACCTCCTGGTTTCTAGCCCAGTTCCTTAACCGCTACACCAAACTGGATCTCTGTAAAATGGTCTGTATGCTGCCTATTGTACTTCCTCTTGCATACAGGCAATCTAGCAAGAATTATTTGTGCTGTGTGGATGAACCATCAGTAAAGATTTTATGCTTTTAATGTAGCCCAACCATTGGGCAAAGGAAGAGCGTATATTTTGGGTGTTGATTTAACCACCAGATATGTTTTTGCGATATATTGAGTCTGTTCTTGAAGACCATTTATAAACTGAAGTTAATTCAAAATCCAGCTGCTAGACTGACCCATGTCTGGACTGAGAAGTTGCAGTTTCAGCTTTGGCCACCATAGAGATGGCACTGCTGCACAGCAAAAAGATACTGTCTTGATAACACCCAGTAGGACAGCTTTCCTGGGGTTGCGGGGCATATTTTGCAAGTGAGTTCTGTTACCTTATATACCCTACTTACAGAGTTTATTTTCATGTTTCTAAATCACAGAATTAGTAGTGGGTGGACATATTTTGGTCCTTGCAGGAAATCTAGAATGAGAATGTCCCCAAACATTTCCAGTAAGTGAGAACACATCTGCTTCCACCGTATCAGGTCCATTGTTGGACTAATCAAGAAGTTTTTACCTAATGCCCAAATCATTTCGGTGCTCCTTTAATTTAAACTCATGAGATCTGGATCGCAGAGACCCTTTATCTTTTCTTATGTACAATCCAGAAGGTACAAAAGGTGCATTCTGTCACCATGCAGTTCACCCATTGAAATATTTACAAGACTTCTTATGGGAAATAAAGGATAGAAAGCATCGGGAGATACTGCAAAGACGGTGCCAGAAGAGAGCCAGAGGCTACAGAAGGACAAACAGCATTTCCAGGTGAACAACCTATGTCTCAGAGTTTTGAAACAGAAATATTTTTTATTTGATTTATGTTCTGCCTTTCCCCTCCAAGGGCACTGAATTATGTGCTTTCTCATTAGGACAAGAGACCCATAAATGAGGGACAAGCTAATTGTTGGAGAGTGCTTGCCTCCTTCTGTAATTATGCCCGAAATGTTGCGAGAAAAGTAGTTCAGTGAGAAACGTGTGTTGTTTACATGTGAGGATCATTTCAGTGTTATAACAAAGCACTTATTATTTATTTATAATGTTATTCCATTTGATGCTGCCCAACTCCAAAAGACCCTGGGCCACTCACAATACACCAACACAATATAAAAAATGTATAACAACGGTAAAGAACAACAAAATCAGACTCAGACCAAAAAAAAGCAAATGGTGAACTGGCAAACCCCAGCAGATCCCACCAGCAGTGGACCTCCAACAAGGGGGCAGCAAACACACTAGCCCAGGGCCTGGGAGAACAACCCGGTCTTCGTGGCTCTTCGGAATGCTGATGGGAGCTGTCCAGATCTCACGGGAACCTTGTTGCAGAAGGCAGGCCCTGCGACCGAGAAGGCACACTTCCTGGATCCGGATAGATGGCATTGTTTAATAGAAGGAACATGGAGCATGCCAACTCTGTCAGATCGAATCAGCCTGGTACAAACCATATTATTAAATATTTCTGTATCTTCGTTATTGTGATTATGTTGTTTTATGCACATTTTTTTGTTTTGTCCTTTTTAAAAAAAAAAAGGAAGGGGGAAGTAACATTGCCTAGCCTATGTCCTTGGACTTTTTTCTTTAACACCAGAAATAATTAAGAAAAGCTTCAGTCAAGGCATCACCACCACCACCATCACCATCATCATAATAACAATATCATCCTTTACCAGATTGAAACAAAGTATCCTTATCTTAAAGGCCTTTATTCTAACTTGGGCCTTCTGCACCTTATTTTCAAAAAGCCATTCCCGTACATTTTAATTATGTGACTGGTGTCTTCTCCCTCCTGCTGCATTTAATCCAAGCATGCCTTGGGGAAATGAAATAATGTACAAGATAGCTGTCTTTCTAGCATTCTGATTGGCTGGCTCTTTAGAAGCCAGCTATGCCTGGTTCTGATTGGTCACCATCACCCTCTTCTCCAAATCCTTACAAGTTTTACGCTTTTAAAATATTTGCTCTTGCCTTAAATGGATTAAGTAAATAAATGTACTGAAAAATATGCATGTTTCCAGCCAGCTGAACCTTGAAACAATAATTATGGAATCCGTGCCTCTATCTAGTTCTTAGCCAGGGCTGCTCCTGCTGCCGGGGTGTTGAGGAGGGATTAGAAGAAAGCAGTGGGATCAGTGAGGGACTCAGTAAATGCACGATCTGCCCTCTTCTGATCCGGCTTCAGATAATCATCTCACCAAACCAGCAGTCTGACGTAGGTTATAGCATTGGCAAGAGCAGGCAATCCTTCTCTTTGGGCATCGATCACTCTGGACTCTAGAAAATAGGATAGGAGGTGCATCAGGCGATAGCAGAGTCTCCAAGCAACGGCAGCAAGAGCAGTAGCTCTGAAAAGAGAATGGGGAATGGCAGATGAAAGAAGCAGCATTCAGCAGAAGCCAGTAAATCACCACCTCCTTTTTCTTTCACTGTCAGAATCTGTAAGCTATACAATTGCATCCCGTTGCTCAGATCCACCACCTTTTGTTTGGCTCCCTCCTTGAACAACCACCCAACACCATTGTTGTACAGCAGATTGATCATCTGCAGCCAGCTGAAGAAGGCATTCTGTTTAATTGCACAGGGGAGCTTGGAAACGCTGGGATGGGAGGGCACCTCTAGTTTTCCAAACACAGGATTTGAAGGATAAGATCTTTGGATGTAAGTGGCCAAAGTTCGGGAGCAAGCAAAGGTAAGTGAAGGGCTTGAATGTGAAGGGCTTGAATGTGATGGGTTTCTGAATTAAAAACTGGAGACATCTAGTTGGGCTTCCTCTTTGGAGGTTCTACATATTATTTTTGCCTGTCCAATTTGTGCAGGTCAGAGGGCCTTTTGAGATATTGAGACTTCCAAATTCATCTTTTCTATTTAACACAGTGATATGGGCGGAACCAAACTTAAAGAAAAATTAAGGGTGACATCTATGATCCAGATGGATCCTTCATGCCCAGAAGCTGTGTATTTTTAAATACTATTTGCTAGGAATCAACCGTGAGAAAGGGATACTACCTTAATTTCCTGGTTGTGGGCTTTCCAGGTGTACTGAATGGACCATTGTTAGAAGCAGCGTGGCTGTTCTCATGCCATTAATGCTGTAGCCTGGCCCCATGTAATTAAAAGGAGGGTACATTGGCAGTAGAGTATATGTAAACATTTGCTATTTCTTTGTGTTTATCCCTATTTAATTTTTTAAAGAGGCAGTTCAATGCCAAGCTAGAGAGAGAAAGGACCCACAGTCTGCAAATGGATGAATGTACAAGATTCGCAAAATAGCATGGTTGAGGCACCATCAGGAGAGCCACTGTCCTGAAAAATCAGATCAATTTCTGATCTGGAATGCCACAACATGCCTAATTTTTGCACCTGCTAATTATATGTTGTTGATATTACTTAGAATTTGCTAGATTTTATGTGCTATGGAATACCACTGTCTCTCAGATATTTACAATAGAATAAAGACAAAGATGCACATTGAAAATGCTGACTTTGATGGAAATAAAAATACAAGCTGTGTAATCTAGAAATGGGCCTTTCAGTGGTAGCCCCTTGGCTCTGGCATGACCCCCTGGAATCCTCTAGTTGGAAGGGACCATCTAGATCAGTGTTTCTCAACCTTGGCAACTTGAAGATGGGTGGACTTCAATTCCCAGAATTGCTGGCTGGCTGGGGAAATCTGGGACTTGAAATCTACCCATCTTCAAGTTGCCATGGTTGAGAAACACTGATCTAGAGCATCAAGTCCAACCACCTGCTCGGTGCAGGAATCAACATTAAAGCATCCCAGATAGATGGTCATCTGGCCTCCAGTAGAAATGTCTAATGAAAGGGACCCTACCACCTCTCTGGATTGTTGGTTCCACTGTCAAAGTGTGCTGATATTTTGGATTTTTTTTCTAGTATTGCATCAGAATCTCCCTTCTTGTAACTTAAATCCATTACTTTGTACTAGAATGATGGAGAACAGGTCTTGACCTTCTGTGTGACATCCTTCCAGATATTTGAAGATTGCTAGCATATTCGTACCTTGCTATCTTTTTTCCCAGCAGTTCTGCCAATTTCTCTTGATAGAACATCTTTTCCTGATTGTTCTCATTGCCCTACCCCAAACCTGTTCTGATTCCTCTGAATTTTTTTTAAAGCGTGCTGCCCAGAACCAGACTACTCAAGGCAGGGTCTGTGCAAAGCAGAATTAAGTGGAATGACTACTTCTAGTGATTTGGAAATTATACTTCTGATGATGCAGCCTCCAGTTGCATTAACCTTTTTTTTTTTTTTGCACCTGCATGATATTGCTGGCTCACATTCAGTTTGCAATCGATTCTGTTTTTGACAAGTATCATGATCAAGCCAAGCCTTGTGTACCAGTGCATCTGATTTTTGTTCCCTAAATGAAAAACAAATGCACTTGTCTCTGATAAATTTCATTCTGTTGCTTTCAGACCATTTTTCTAATGCATCAAATTCGTTTTGAATGTATTTCTGTCTTGGCATTAGCTGTCCCACCCAGTTTTGTGCCATCGGCAAATTTGATAAGCATTCCCTTGACCTCGGCTTGCAAATCAGTAATAAAAATACTGAAGAGAAGAAGAAGACTGATCTTTGTGACACCTTAATTGATAGCTCTCTGCAATTTGATGAGGAATCATTAATCAACCTTCTGAGTACAATTTTCAAGCCAGCGATAAATCTACCTAATTCCCATACCATCCAGTCTACATTTAACTAACTTAGGCATCAGACAAAGATATTTTTATTCTCTTAAACTTTTTAATACAGTGAGATCATATCTTAAATTTATATCCTGTGGTGAAACATATGACTCAATGCCTGCTGTTTATGCTTTCTCAGTTTATGTTTCATTTTTGATGACCAATTCTATCTTTATTTTTTTTAATGGAAACTTACTGGGAAAGATCTGTTCTAAAGGACACCTTGCAGATTTTATTTGTGATTGATTGATTGATTGATTAGATTTTTATCCCACCTTTATTATTTTAAAATATTATTATTTTATAATATTTATTTAAAAGTAAATATATGAATCAGTGTATAAGGGAGTAATCCAGAGCTTCCTGTTTTTGTTCTCCAAGTGCTTTGTGTTTCTGACAATTTCTATCTTTACCTTAGATTTCTTTGAATTGGACATGGACTGGATGGTCCTTTTAGATGGAAAAGGACTTTCCAGGGGACATTTGTAGGTGCTGTTTAAAAAAGATGGGGCAGCATCAGTTTTGCTTGCTTGTATGTCCTGGGTCAGCAACATCTTTAATTGTCTACAGCGCTGTTTCTCAAGCTTGGCAACTTGAAGATGTGTGGACTTCAACTCCCAGAATTCCCCAGCCAGCGG